TGCGAAAATGGAGCTTAGGACCAGATTGGTATGCTCCGCATGAGCCAGAATGTGCTTCCTCCATTGCTTGGTGGGCTTCTTATTTGTCAAGCTATCGCAATAATAGTCCTTCAAAAGAGCGGCGAAATAAGGTCCCCTTGTAGAAAACAAATCATGGTGCCTTTCGCTTGATGTCTATTCTTTGTCGCGGATCCTCAGATAACTTTCCATGTTCAAGGTATTATATCAATGGTAGCCTCCAATCCTCTTCTTCAATCACCCCAACGGACGTATGATGACTTTCTTTGATTTGAAATTCAAGAAGTCTAGGAATGACCCATCGATGATACACATGTATCTTTGTTGACTCATTCTCTCCAAGTGCCATCGTCGAGGCCAAGTTAGCCAAAGAATCAACCATGCGATTTTCTTCTCTAGGGACGTTGTTTAATAACATTTGGTTGAATCGTTCGAGTAAACAAGAAGCATATTGGTAGTATGGCAAAAGATCTTCCTCCTTTACATAGTAAATCCCCAAAAGTTGGTTGCTGATCAACTTAGAGTCACCGTATATCTCCAACTATAGAATCTTCATGTCTAATGCCATTTCAAGACCAATGATCAAAGCTTGGTACTCTACAACATTGTTGGAGCATGTTTCACCTAAAACAAAGGAGAATGGCAAGATTTGTCTATCTGGAGAGATCAACACAACACCTGTCCCCGCACCGTTCCGACGTGCGGATCCATCAAAGAACATTGTCCAGGCTGGTAATTCTTCAATGGACATAATGTCTTCATTTGGAAACTCATCAGAAAGCTCCCATTTTGCCGAAAGAGGATGATCAGCTAGAAAATCATCTAGTGCTTGTCCTTTCACAACCTTTTGAGGGGTGTGTGTGATCTCATATTGGTTAAACAATATGGACCATCTTGCTAGGCATCCAGAAAAAACAGGTCGAGTCATCACGAACTTCACAGGATCTGCTCGAGAAATGAGTTTGGTGGTGTATGCTTCAAAATAATACCTTAGTTTTTTTATTTCATAAAGTAACGGTAAGCATATTTTCTCAACAGGCGTGTAGTTCAACTCAGCTCCTATCAGAGTACGACTGAGGTAGTACAAGGCTTGTTCCTTCCCTTCATCATTCTCTTGAGCAAGTAGTGCCCCAAGTGAGCGTTCTTATGCCGCAATGTAGAGTATCAATTATGGATTCCTAAGCATTGGTGCCCCTAACACAGGTGGATTCAGCAAGTATCTTTTGATGCTTTGAAAAGCATTTTGACATGATTGATCCCAATGAAAAGGGATATCCTTCCTCAATAGATGATTGAAAGGTTGACATCATCCGGCAAGATTAGAGATGAACCTCTGGATGAATGCTAAGTTTCCCTGTAGACTTTGAAGCTCCCTCAAGTTCTTTGGCTCGGGGACGTCAATCTTTGCGCGATCAACTTCAATACAATGAAGCCAAGAAACGTTCCTGAGATAACTCCAAATGCACACTTGAGTGGATTCATCTTTAGGTCAAATTTTCTTAACCTTTCAAAAACAATTCGAAGGTCTTCAAGGTGGTAATGCCTACTCTTCGTCTTCACCACCAAGTCATCGACATAGCATTCAATCCTCTTATGAAGCATGTCATCAAAGATGTTTTGCATCATGTGTTGGTAGGTGGCATCAACATTCTTCAGACCAAAGGGCATCACTTTGTAGCAGTATATCCCTTTTAGAGTTCGAAAACCAGTACACTCTTCATCTTTTCGAGACATTCTAATTTGATTATATCTGGAGGACCCATCCATGAATGACATAGCTTCATGCCCTATTGTAGCATCAACCATGAGTTCAATAATTGGTAGCGGAAAGTCATCTTTCGGACATGCCTTGTTTAGGTCTCGAAAGTCCACACAAACACATATTTTTCCATACTTCTTCTTGACAGGTACAATATTCGATATCCATGATGGGTACTTCATCTCTCGAATAAATCCTTCCTCGATGATCTTGTTGACTTCAACTTTAATTTATGGTACTAGCTCGGGCCTAAACATGTGTTGTGACTGCTTCACAGGGCGTGCTCCACTTTTGACCCTAAATGATGAACGACTACCTTAGGACTATGACCAGGCATTTCTTTATATGACCAAGCGAAGACATCTTTGTACTCGATCAATAACTTGGAGTATTCCTCCTCCTCCTGAAGCGTAAGAAGTGCACTAATGAAGGTGGGGCACAGATCTTCCGGAGTGCCTAAATTGAGTTCCTTAAGCTCATCCATAGTTGATTGACCGCCATCTTCTAATTGAGGGGTATCCTCATGAACTTCATCATCAATATCAAGGCATGGGTTATCTTCCACAGTTATGTGATAGGATGTTTCCACAAAGTCTGACTTTTCTCTTCGACTTCCTTGGATGATCGGTCTGGCTTCTTTCTTTTTCTCTTTCTCTGCTTCCTTACGAGGCTGGAAAGTGCAAACAATGGTTATCCTTTGCAACTTCATTGGACCATCTGTGCATATTGAAAAAATTGACTTCCTCTTCGTACTTTATGGGAAAGCACTACGGATTTCTTTATCAGCAATAACTTCAAAATGATCTCGCTCCTCATGGACTTGCTCCTTATGTTTTGACAGTATCTTTCTAGATGGTGACTTCCTTGTGGTTCCCGAGCGACAAAATACGGAGGTCTTTGAGTTAGTGGGAACTTCTTTTAGATGTTTGGAAGATACACGTTCACCTTTGTGACTTAGCCTTTCGAACACTGAGAGCGGAGGGGTTGAGCCTCCAATGCGATCAAACCCTGAAGCCCGTTGTTTTATTTTTCTTGCCCTTAACCTCCTTCATCTCCTCTACCGAGGTGTGTTGTGATGAAGCTATCTCTTTGCTTCTCTTAGATGAATTTCGAAGAGGCTCTACCAAACTGAATCCCAACCCAAACTTTGGAGTGGCGACGTAGTGCCCTTGCTTTCGCAACTTCATTTGGGACTCATTGAGCCCATGTATCTTTTCACCAGTGACATCGTCTTTGAGTTCTCCTAGTCTTGATGGATTGGAGAAGTCATAACCAGACTTTTCAAGCAGTATAAAGGCCTTAGGATCATAGTGCCCTTTTATTTTATAGGCTTGGAGATTGCCTTAAATAGACTCAAAAGTCACGTATGGGATTTGTGCAACTGGGACAATCATATGCTCCTTCAAATGTTGGATATCTTGGTGACTCATTTTCTTATTTGGAGTACATTCCTGTAGCAAAGGTTTCCCTTTCTTTCGACGCTCATGCGGAACATAGCAAAAAACTAGATGCTCTTTATCAGTATTTCTCTGTATGTCACCTTTAGATGAAGACAACTTAATGAAGACTTCTTCAGCTCTCTTCTTAGGTAGCTTGGTGGTAGTCCATTGAGCCTTGTTTTCTTCTTCTGACTTGACATCAGCTTCATCAACTGATGATGGTTTCTCCACACTCGATTCACAAGAATCTAGGTAGAATTTTGCATCTGCAAAGTATGACTCCGTCTTAGTGAAAGGATTGATGTCTGTATCAATTTTGATTATCTCTCCATATCTTATGTACTTCAAACATTGATGCAAAGTAGACGATACCACTCCATTCTCATGAATCCAATGACGTCGAGTAGTAGGTTGTATGATGTTTTAGCATTTATGACGTGAATCAGGGTGTTTGACTTCATCTCACCAATGGACAATTCCATGTGGACCATACCTATGGCTCGTTGTCCTCCTTGGTTGAAACCTTGGATTGTTAGGTTAGTTTTGGATAGCTCATTGATAGAGATGCCAAGCTTTTTTAGCACCATCTTTGGCATGATATTGACAGCTGAAATATCATCAATAAGTATGCGATTGAGATGTATTCCCGATTGGCTCCTATAACGAATAAAGGTCTGTTATGTAGCCTAGACCCCGGCAGCAAGTCATCATCTATGAAGGAAATTGTTGCAGAACATGTAACAAATTTTCTGCTATCATGATGTTCTTGTGTTTTCATTGGAGTGAGCTCATCATTGCTTTCGTTTGTTTTGTCAGTACTAGAAATTGCATGAGTTGCATCAACGTAACCTCCATGAAGGAATTTTCCAGGAAAGGATTCATGCAATGTGATGGGCTTTCAGAACTTCGGCGATAAGGCAACGTTAATCTTCTTGCTAATAGAAGATTTAATAATTCTTGGTAGTTATAGCTTATCCACATCACTTATTTTTTCTCTTGGCTTATAAAGTGGTAGCCTCAAAACTTCTTGATGTCTTCATTTCTTATGAGTGACTCGAGTTCAACCTTCATCGTCTTTGACTTTGGACTGAGTGTCCAACTCTAGTGAACCTTCAAGAGTTTTCCCTGGAAGATCAACTTCAACGGGCTTGAAACTTCCAAATTGTAAGAAGGCGGTGCTTGACGTGTTCTGCAACCTTGGACACTTCTTTTCCATGAGCGCAATACTTGCATGATTTGCTTCTGCTATTTCATCCATGTCTATGATGGTTTTTCCTTCACTTACAAGAGCCATGATTTTCTCCTTTAGGATGAAGCATTTCACTGTAGGGTGGCTAATGACGTGATAAAACTTGTAGTATTTCGGATCGCCAAATTTAACAATTTCCTCAGGCCTTTTTGATTCAGGGAGATCGATGACTTTCTTGGTCAGCAATTTATCAAGGATCGTGGGTACATCTAAATCTGGAAAATGGATAAATCTTCGCCTCCAATTCCTTCAAGGTTGGATGACGTTCTCCTCTTTGGGATATTGACTCGGGGTCTTATCCTCCTTGACCTTTTGCTTAGTCGTGACTTTCAATGAAGTTGCTTTCACCTCCATAGATTCTTTGGTTTGGTTCTTTGATACAACATTTTTCTTGAACTCCTTTTGATCAACAAATTGGAGATGCCTTTCCATGGTTTGCGATGCTTAACTCCATGTCATGAGTTCGCGTTGCAAGTTCTTCAAAAGTTCGCAGTTTGATCCCTTGTAGGATGTACAAAAGGCTCCAGTACATTTCCTAAATGCACATCTCCACAGCAGATATTTCTGAAAGGTGATCCTTGCAATCCAAACTTAATGCCCTCCAACGATTGATGTAATCCACCACGGGCTCGTCCTTTCTTTTCTTGGTGCCTATCAACTCTATCATGCTTACAGTTCTTCGGGTACTATTAAAACAATCGAGGAATTCCTTCTCAAGTTGTTCCCAACTATCAATAGACTCGGGATCCAAGTCAATATACCAGTCAAATGTGTTCCTTTTCAGCGAAAAAACAAATTGCTTTACCAAAAAGTCATCATGCGTTCCAGCATTGCTACAAGTCTCGACAAAGTGGATAATATATTGCCTTGGGTTTCCTTTGCCATCAAATTGATGCAGCTTTAGTGGTTGATAATTGGTTGGCATAGTTAGGCAATCAATCCTCTTAGTATTAGGCTTAGAGTAGTACAATGAACTTTGTGATGGTCCGCCATATTGAGCTCTGATGGTGTTTGTTATCATGTCTTGCAATTGTTGGACAAATAACGTCGCAACCGAAGTGGATTGTTGTTCCCTCTGAATGCTGAACTTGGCAAGCGATTCCTCAACATCCATTTTTTGCGAGGTGAAGACAGGTGAACGAGGAGGGACGTGGCTTGACTCTCCAGGTGTATATGCCTCCAATTTGTTCATGAGTTGAGCAATTTGAAGGTCTTTGTCTTCAACAGTTTTCTTCAAGACTTCAATATTCCGTTATATCATGGCAAGCTTCTCATCCACATTAGTTGTGTCAGTCATTAAGGCCTTGACTTTCGTTGAAACTGGAGAATCCACCAAATCCTCAAATTTCCCAAGGTTGGAGGCTGTTTGAGAAAATTCGTCAAATAGCAAGAATGGGATGTTGCCCCTCAAAGATTGCGGTTGCAGACGTCGTGTGAGATCTGCTCTTCTTTGCCATCTCCAAGGAGGCAAAGTATTCGGTTCCATCCAAGCCACTAGCCTTGAACTTGTTTCAAGTGATTGGGCCAACATGACTGAGCTCAGCAGACGCAACAACATTAGCATCTTTCCATGAAACATCACACTTGCGGAAGGCCATTGTAGCAGTAGATATGAAGTTTGTAGTTTTCAACTTGCCAGAAGGAGAGATGAAGAGAAGAACTGGTCCCACTGGGCATGCCAAAATTTGTTCACAATAAATTTTCGTAATACGGAAAATAAACTGCAAGAAAAATAATATGAAGAAAAAGTGATTTTATTGATAAATATTTGTGAGTACAATTCTATCTATCCCTTGATTCTCCCTCCCTAAATTACTCCGTGATTCGAGGGCTTGAGAAGCGTCTTTTGAATATAGGATGATGTAGACCTCCTTGCGATATATTTAATCGCTAAGAACACCGAGCAACACTTTATTATTAGGGGTTGATCTCGAGAACAACTCTGTTGATCACTCCTTTGTTGAAGAACTATGCACTTGATGATTGATCTCTTTGTTTGTGGATGCCTTCACCAATTGCGGAATGTTCTTCTCTAACTCTGAATATCCCTAGAGAGTTATGTAACCCCTCTATTTATAATTGTACAGGGTGGACAGTCCAAAATAGGTTGACTTCCAAAGCCAAAATTAGGCAAACTAAAGTGCTGAATTTTTAGGCGTGAGAAGAAAGAAAATATATGTTCTTCCCACTGTTATAAATATACATAAAATTTCCTTCTAATACGACGTGAAAGAATTAAACATCCAGTTCGAGAAATTAAAAGGAATGGAAAAATGTTAAAAGAAAAGGAAATAATAGACACTATAAGAGATAGTATCAAGATCTGAGAGATTAAATTCTCTAAATCCCTAAATATAAGTTCAATCCGGAGAAGGGAGAAAAAAAAAAGAAAAAGGTGTAACTAAATCCCTTGATTGAAGGCACAAATAATGGATTGTGAGCCTTTTAAGGTGGATTGTATATATTTTGTAACTAAAATATGTTTAGGTCGGGTAAATACCAAAACATAAACATATTTTGTAATAAAATTTTCAATAGTGTATAGGTATGTAAAAAACCTTTTGGATTTGAGAAAATCCCTCGTGGTTTAGGGAACTTATTATTCAGCTCAAGTCCTTGATATTAACGGAATATTTTTTTATTATTATTATATTTCGTTAATGCGATAATAATTTATTTAAGTATAATTTTATAGATATATTCCAACATACAAAGAGTTTGATATCAAAGATAGTAAATATGGGTAATAATGTTGCATTCTTTGAAGCTACATGATATTTGGTTGGTTGCGATAATAAAAAAAAAATTGAATTAATCTCTCAAAAATTTTTATATATATATATATATATATATATAGAAAATATAAATTTTTGAGATATTAATTCTATATTTGTTTTAATATAGAAAATATATATATATACCTAACCTGCTTTTTTTAACAACAAATTTTATTATAAACAGTCATGAGTGTGGGTAAAATTTCTATCTTTCTTTTCAAACTTAATACAATAAATGGAGGACATCATGTTGGATATTACATTTAGATGTATAGGAGTTACACGAAATTGTAAAAGTTGATGGATTAAAAATTGAAGTTGAAAAGATAGAAGGCAAAAAAACGTATCAAAAAGACAACAACGAAGACCTAATAACTTAAAAAAAATTAAAATTTTAAAGTAAAATATTATTTTTAAATATCATAAGCTCTAACTCTTTTTTCTGTTGTTGCTAAAATTACAATATTGTATAAATACGAAGCAACTTATGCTGACACATTATTTTGATATTTAGTGCAAATTTTTTAATTGAAACTATTTTAATTCAATTAAAACACGATATTAATATTATTTATATGATGAAAAATATAGTTTATCAATAGTTTTTTATTATTGACACAACAAACACGTGTAACGCATGTATATTAAGACTAGTTCGTTTGAAATGGGATTAGTGACACGAACAAATAATTAATATCATGTGTTAGTGATACAGATAGTTTAGTTGTCAGGATGGTGTCAAATAAACGTTTTAATATAGCAAAATCTATCTATCTATATATAATAAAAGGAGAGGCAAAAACATATTATTAAGATAAGTGACATAACCACAAAAAGCCAAGTGACATGGTTAAGACAAAATAAACTACCTTTTTAACTAAAAATGTAACGACCTGACCGGTCGTTTTGAATTCTAGCACATCGTTCAGCAGTTTGAAGCCAAGAGCAGCTTCATTTCAGGTATTATGACTTGTACGCGTGGTCGGAATTGAATTTCGGGAAGTTCAGAGTTGATTTGGAAAGAGAGTTCTCGTTTCGAAAGCCTTAAGTTGAAAGAATTAGCTGAGATTGGATTTAAGAGTAAACGACCTCGGAATCGGGATTTGAAGGTTCCAGCAGGTTCATATGATGATTTCGGACTTGGGCGTTTGCCCGGATCGGGTTTTGGATGACCCAGGAGTGTTTTGGCGCATATTATGGAAGTTAGCAATTTGGAAGAAATTTCATAAGTTTGGCTTGAAGTGCACATCAGTGTTATCGATGTCCGTTTGGGATTCCGAGTCTGGGAGTAGCTCCGTATGGTGATTCTGGAGTTGGGAGCGCGATCGGAAGTGAATTTGGAAGTCCGTAGGCCATTTTGAAGTCATTTGGCTAAAGATAGAAATTTGAAGGTTTTTGAGAAGTTTGACCGGAAGCGGACTTTTTGATATCGGGGTCGGAATCTGATTCCGTAAGTTGGAATAGGTCCGTAAGGTCGAATATGACTTGTGTGCAAAATTTGAGGTCAATCGGGCGTGATTTGATAGGTTTAAACGTCGAAACTTAAAGTTTGAAATTCTAAAGTTCATAAAGCTTAGACTGGAGGTCGATTCATGATTTTAGCGTTGTTTGATATAATTTGAGGCCTCGAGCAAGTCCGTAATGTGTTTTGGGACTGGTAGGTATGATTGATTGGGGTCCTGGGGGCCTCGGGTGGATTCCGGGTGGTTAACAGATCGAAAATGGAATTTTTGGAAGGCTAAAGTTGTTGGTTGTTGTCATAACGACACCTGCGATAATTGGGCCGCAGGTCCGGGGCCACAGAAGCGGCCAAAGGAGCCACAGATGCGGTTTTGACCAAAGTGAAGGGGACCGCAAATGCGGTGGGGAAGCCGCAGAAGCAGAACCGCACCTGCGGCGGTTGAATCGCAGAAGCAGAAGGGAGGGCGTGGTGAGGTATCCGCAGAAGCGATAGAAGTGTCGCACCTGCGGAACCACAGAAGCGGTCAAGGGTCCGCAAGTGTGGAAGTCGCTGGGTAGAATGTTTTTTTTAAGCGGGGTTGAGTTCATTTCACCCACTTTTCTCTACTTTGGGGCGATTTTGGAGGGCTTCAAGAGGGGATTTTCATCATCAACGATAAGGTAAGTTATCCCCACCTATCTTGAGTTAAATACATTGATTATGTACGGATTCGAGCATGAAATTGTAAAACTTGGGGTTTGAGGGAAAACATAGAAAATTGATATTCTTGGAATTTGACCACGATTTTGGGTATGAAATTGAGAGTAAATTATATATTTGAGTTCGTGAGGTTATGGGTAAAGTTTATCTTCGAAAAATTTTGGAATCCAGGCACGTGGCCCCGAGGGCATTTTGGTCAACTTTTCGAGCGGAGTTGGGAACTTATATAATTTGAATTGTTATAACTATTAGAGTGAATTCTTATTGGTTTGCCCGTTATTTGGATAGTTTTGGGGCATTATGCATCAATTGGAGTCGTTGGAAGGGTGTAGAATGTCGATTGTGGATCTTCAGAGTAAGGTGAGTCTCCTTTCTAACCTTGTAAGAGAGAATTGTACCCATAGGTGAGTTAATTAGTTATGTGCTCCTATTTGTGGGGGCTACGTACGCACGAGGTGACGAGAGTCCATGCGTAGCTACTATTATGCTATTGTCCGGGTAGTTTAGGACCCAAAGGCATGTTGTACTTGGATTATTTGTAAACTTATTCACAACTTGAATTGCTTAAATCTTATCGAATTAGTAAATGAATTTCTAAAAAAATTAAACTTCATTTTTCTTAAATCATTAAAAGAGAACTGGCTTTTATTGGAATAAACTCTTAATTGCCTATTTGACTGTGTATATCTATGTATGCCGCATCGCATGTATGATTCGGGAGGGAGTATTTGGTTATTTAATGTTGACCGTGTCGCATGTATGATGCGCGAGCGGGGTAATAGATGCATTTATGGTTCGTGCCGTTTGACCCTCGGTAGTGCACATTTTACATTTCTGTTGGATCAGGCCGTACGAACTCGGCATGAGTTGTGCATGCTTGTATTGCTTGCCTTGAGATTATTTGAGACTGATACGTGCTCTCCCCGACTTGAGATAATTGGAAACTATTGGATTATGAATCTGGAGACTTTTAATATAAAAAAAGGAACTTTCACTTGTTCATGACTTACTTGAAATTACTGTCATTCTTAATAAATCCTTGATTATTCGCATTAATAATATATCATTATCAGACCCCTAGTAAGTGTCAAAGTCGACCATCTCATCTCTACTTCTTCGAGATTAGACGGGATACTCATTGGGTATACGTTGATTTCGTACTCATACTACACTTCTGTGCATTTTTGTTTCACAGGCATACATCTCTAGTGGCCTACGGGGCATGACAGCATGGTTGATACGGAGACTTAGGTGAGCTGCACTTCTCGAGGTGACTCGCAGCCAACAGAGTCTCTTTCAGTTTTCTGTATTTACTTTTTTCCAATATTGTATTCTGGATGGTTGTTGTATTACATTATTTCCTAGAAATTGCTCATGTACTTGTGACACCGGGTTCTAGGAGAATTTTTGGATTATTCAGTATTAAGTTTGTTATAGACTCCATGGTTATTTCTGTAAATTTTATTATTTGTTATTTAATGTATAAAGAAAATGATTTTTAAACAAATACTAAAATTGAAATTTAATTAAGTATTTTGGTTGGCTTGCCTTGCAATGGTGTCCGGCGCCATCACGACCCTTAGTGGATTTTGGGTTGTGACAACATGGTATCAGAGCACTAGGTTCCCTTAGGTCTCACGAGTCATGAGCAAGTCTAGTA